TTTTTATTGTAGCACTTGATGAAAAATTATTAATTCAATCAGAAAAAAAAAGGATTCTATTGCTTTTTCTGATGTTATGCTGATTCATCTGCAGCTCCTCTGAGCTGTAAGGTCAGTGGTCTTGTTATAATGTTGATAATGGGGATGCCATGGTGGTTTGTCAGCATCTGGAGTACATGATGTCCATGCTGATAGTTTCTTTTTCCACACTTTAGGATCAACTTGGAGTCCAATTTAAATGCTCGCTGACCTGCTTTTGTACCTTTCTGTTTCTCCACTGGTCTACAGCTCCTGGTTATGGATTTACCATATATACAGTCCCTCTTGCATATATTATGAACTATTTCTTTGTTATCTTTCCTACCCCTGCTTTCATCCAGCTCTAGGTTTGCATTTTGTTATCTGACCATTGGTGTTTTTTGTTGTTTTTTTGTTTGGTTTGGTTTTGTTTTTTTTAAACAGCTATGGGGTCTGCATTTTTTACCCTGTGCCTTTAGGCTGGTGTCCTCCATACATGTACTTAACACTATATTCTGTCTCCTCTTCTCAAAGCCTTTCCCAAGACACTAGTTTTGTATTTTTTCTATAGTGAGTTATTAGTTATTATAATAGATAAATCATAAAACCTGGGGGGCTCCACACTAAGATAAACAAAAGTAAATCAAATTAGACATAGCCAGATGGTCAATTAGAAAAATTGCTGCTGCAGCAAAACCAAATAGGACAAATCTGTAGACAGATCTAAGAAAGCTCAGACAGAGCAGGCCTCAGTCTTAAGCCTTGCAAACTCACTATAAAGCCCATGCTCTGTCATAAGAAATGGCAATACGTAAAGAATTGCAATTCATGCAGTGTTTTAGATTAACTGCGTTGTCAACATAGATGATGTTTGGCATACTGTACTGGAAAAGCTGGAAGATATGGATGGGTTAAATCATGCGACGAAATTTGGAAATTACACTCGTATATACTAAGAATAAAACACTTGTTTGTAAAAGCTGGGACCTTGCCAGTCGCTTCAGGAAGAGCAGATGAAGGGAAGGGATTCTGAGTAATAGTTATTAGCAGGAAGAAAGCCACCTGCAAAAGGCATATGTGATCCTAGGATATGCTGCATATGCTAACTTCGGTAGGGTTAAGAAAAATAAGCATTGCTGCTCACTGGCGGAACTTCATCTGAAATTGCCTGTTTTATTCTGGATGGTCTTGTTGAAAAGATGACTTGTTCCTATTGGAGCAGGAAAGGAAAGACAGTTGTTACTGTAAAATTAGATCAGGAGGCAGTGAGGGATTGGAATGGATGCTGACGCTCCACTCAGGTCTTTTTAAACTGCAGATATAGTGTGATTTCTGTGTAGAAAGGTGCTCAGCATAGATATTTTGACCCGCTCCACACTTTTTCTGATTTTTCCTTTATTTTTTTTTTTTTCTTCCAAGCAGAGATTGATTAAGAAATCAACTGTAAGACTGAAGTAATTCCTGTGCCTCACTGTTGTTGGGAGAAGCCATTTGCTACAGTGCATCTCAGCTGGGCTTCAGTTCTCACCTCATTACACACTTCATGTTTTCCTAACATTTTCTGTTTCAGCGTTTAACTCTCGTTAACCATTTCTCTCATTTCTATTTCTGTTTTGGTGCTCTTTTCATGGTTTTAGTGTTGTCATTTCTTATTTACTCTTTTTCTGATCTTGTTCCAACTCATCATTTAACCTGTCCCAAACTCTCTATACTTTTTCTCTCTCTGTTTTCTGCAGATCCTTCCACCCCAAATGTCTCATTTCTTTCTCCTGTAATTTTACCTCTTCTTACTGTTTATATATATCGCTACCATTTGCTTATATTCTGCTATTTGTTCTGTTTAGGGCCTGTCATATAGATTTCTAGAAATACTTTCCCTTCATGACCCCTTAATCTGTAATTTCCACTGGTATAAATAGAAGTTTCATTACAATAATCAAAACATAAAAAATGAGTCCATTTGCTAGTAATATTTAAATCGAAGGTTGAACTGGAAATATTAACACACAATGTAATGGAAAAGGAAAAGCTTGACACCTTATGAAGAAGGAGCTATTTTTAGTGGAACATGTTGTTTTCAAAAACAAGTCCAGATTGACAGGTTTTTTCTCCTCATCCTTTTAATGACCAAGTGAAATACTTGCAAGAAAAATGGAGGATTCATCTTGAATAATTATTGACAAGTGGGATTTTCTTTCCTTCTGAAGAAATACTTAATATTTAATAGGTACTATATTTAGGTCATAGGAGATACTTATAATTTCATGAGTGTATGTGCCCTTGCTGATCTATCATGTATAAAACAATGATGTAATTTGCTGTAGTCTCACATATTACATCAGATTCAATGTGTTTGTGAGGTGTGAAACGAGGCATCATTCTGTCAGCACAGTTTCCCACTTGCTTATAATTAATAGCAAAGGCACTTTAGGAAATAGCTTGTCTCCCTCTGCCAGAGGGATACACAGATCTGTGGGTTCAGTGTTTGCTTAGACAACTTGGCAAGGATTTCAGTTGCAGAGGAACCTGGAGTCTTTGGCAAATATGCTACATCGGGGCTTCATAGGGTTTTGTTTATAAGCTTTTGGAGTTTTTCAGACTCAACAAAGTAGGTACTTTTCCTTCCAATTTTGTGGAAAATAATACTGATGAAATTCGAATTTAAGTCTCTGTTAACTCAATATAAGGCATTTTCCCTATGAAAAGATATTTACAATTCTCACTGTTTCTGGCAGCTTATGAGTTTGTGTCTTACCATTTCCCAAGTCCCTGGGGCTGGCAGCAGTGGTGTAGGAGGAAGCTCTTTGCCTCCTTAGCACGTGCCTCTCTGGCATGTGGTGGCATCCTGTGCTACAAAGCCCCTATGCTGCCTTGCTTCATCAAAGACTGTTTGTCCTTCCCTATGTGTTTCCACATGAGTGTTAATACTCCAACTAGGGATTTAGTTATTTGGAGGAGGGGAAGTGAGAAATTGTAGTGAAAATGGGATGAGAGGTGAGATGCAGCGCTACTGATGGTGAAGTTTCTCCAAGGGGTAGTGCCTGAAGGGAGAAAGTTGAAGTCTTAACAATATTGTATGTTTAGTTATGAAGAAAAAGTATGTGTAGTAAGACCAATTAAAAGACAGATTGTTTATCTATCTATCTATCTATCTATCTATCTATCTATCTATTTATTGCATATTTTATTTACTCATTTATTTATTCATTTTTTTTTAAATATGAGACTCTCTAAATGGAAAAAAATATAGAAAAAGAAAGAAAAACTACACAGTAAAGCTCACACAGGATCAGTATGTGTCCAGGCTCTGTTTGAGTTCCCTGGTCCTTTCTTTGTGATAGGACCTGTTGTTTTTTGAAGCAAACTAAACTGGTGCTAATAACAGCTAGTTCAGGCATATGAATGCCAGGTATCTTGCAGTTTTCATATGAACTTTAGTTAAATAAAATAATTAAATTTTCTCATTTGGCTTCTAGCGTGATATTAAAGCTGTGTACTTAAAAATAAAGTCCTTGTGCTGTGGATTCTACTCCTGTTGTTCATGTCAATTACAATTATGTTGCTTTTGAACAAGATTTTTGCCAGCAGGGAATACTGAGAAGTGCCAAATTAAATTTCCGATGCATTTTGTCTTTAGTTCATAGTGAGAATTATTTCTCACATAAATTTGCTATGCTTAGCAGAATGAACTCGTATTTCCTCTAAAATATCTATGGCATCAGATTAGCTTTCAATGCCATCATAGTGGCACTGTTGATGCCTCCTTCTAGGCTGTGGCATAGCATAGGCCTTGGTTTGAAAAAAAGAAGGTGGAGAAATGCTCCATCCAAGCTACTTTTATTCCACCATCTTGGAACCCTGTTGCCTACTCGAGAGACGTCTTTGGGAAAAGGAAAGAATGATGTTTTCACATATAGAGCTGTTATGGCCATGCTTTTTGGTAATGTTTAAGTTCTTTACTATGAGAGTGGTGAGGTGCTGGAACAGGCTGCCCAGAGAGGTTGTGGATGCCCCATCCCTAGATGTGTTCAAGGCCAGAAGGGCAGCCTGGTATAGTATTAAATGAGGAGGTTGGTGTCCCTTCCTGTAGAGATTCATGATCCTTGAGGTCCTTTCCAACCCGGGCCACTCTGTGATTCTGTGATTCTGTGTGAAACGATACCAAAAATGTGCTAATGCAAATTACAACAAAGTAAAAAGGAAGAATACATGTAAACTATTTGTGTCAGCCAGTTCTAAATGACTTTTGGTGACTGGCTAATAACTGATGCTTCACCACTAAACAAACAATATTAATTTCTTTTTATATTGGAACATTTGTTTCCTAAATCCAGTTTTTGGGTTCATTAGCATGCTATGAATAGTGTCTGTGTATTCAAGTCCTACCTCTGTACCCATTTTGCATTTCAGGCAATTAGCTTAACTGATATTAAAAAGAGACACTAGCTGTAGGAGAAGGAAATGATAGGTAGCAACATAGCAATGGCAATTAAAATAGCATCATATTTACCTATAAATGTTGTTTTCATGAATAAAGCTCTTTTCAGGTGTTGAGTAAGCCTAATAAGAACTTGATCTCTTGCAAGGTAGACAGTATTGGATTCCCTACTTTGTAAGGTAAGATGTAACACAAAACATATTCTATTTGAAATTGTACACAATAAATCACAGCCAGATGTCAGGAAAGAGAAGAGAAGTTTCAGGCCCATCATGAGTCTTGATTCTCTGACAGAGAACAGTAATTACTGACTATTCTGTGGCAAAACTCGTCCATAGCATGAGTGGCTAGGGATTTAGTACAGGGACTGGAAAATAAATGTTAAAAATCTTTGTATTCTCTTTGTAAGGAGCTCATTGTGTTTGACTTGTGTCTTCTGTCCCTGAAGCTGAGCTTCCTAAAAATGCTGTAGCTGCCATTTTGATGGAATCCCACCTTTTGCAAACTAACCAAGCCTATTTTCCTTAATCTCATTTTTCCCCAGAATGTTACAGCAACAACAACAACGTCGAATGTTCACGGCTGCTCTCCTGGCACTTGTCTTCATTCTGGCAGCAGTGAGTACCACTGAGGCTGGAAAGAAAGAGAAACCAGGTAAGGTCTAGTGTAATACAGCGTTAATCCCTGAGGCAGATTGCATGTGTGGGGCAATACAAAATGCTTTTGGTTTTGTTTTGAAATTCAAGGCATTCATTAACCTTTTGACATGCATGATAGGTATTTGTGGCAGTGACATTTTTTCCTATGCTCAGTAGGAAAACAGACATTAGTTTTCATGAAAGCTGGCAGCTTGAGAGCACCAGAGACTAAGTCCTCAGTTTATCACAGAATGGATATTGAAGACATCTTTCCTTAAAATTTGCTGAGAATAGTTCCTTCTAGGCTAAGGGAGGATCACATAAGAACAATGAAAGAGTAATTATCATGTTACTTATTTGGTGTGTTATATGCAATTGTGACACCAGTGCCATGAGAGTGAAAATCCTCCAGCAAAGGACTAAATGAACTCTCTGCTGACAACAGATGACCAGACATCCAATGGTAATTGCTTTTTGCTAGTGATGGACTCAGACCCCACTGCAATAGAGAGAGGCCTGGAGAGGAAAATTGACATCTATCAGACTCATTTTTGATGTTTTTTAAAAATTGCACTTTATGGTGTTTTTCTTAAGATCTTATATCTTTTAGGGTAGTATGGTTAGATTGCAGTTGAACTTGATGATCTTTCAGGTCTTTTCCAACCTGAGCAATTCTATGATTCTGTGATTATTTACATGCTGCTTACACACCGGTTAACATGACTTTTTAGTCTATTAGAATTAGTATTTCCATTAAAAAAAAAGGTGTTTCTAATCAGTGTGGCTGTATGGAAACACTATAAAATATGGAAGAGCTCAAGCACAAATCATTATATATAAGATTATTTAAAATTACATGTGATATTTGGGGCCTTAATTATTATTTTGGTCAACACTTGGATTTGTCCCTACTTTTGTCCCTACAGCACCTGCTTTCGTCCCTAAGAAACAAAACTTGAATGGGCTATCAGCATTTCGAGGTGTTCTGATCAAATTCTGAGTGTTTACATTAGGAAGTTCAAGAACCATAATTATCTTGTATCTACATATCCTTCTATATGTAGTTTCTTACTTGCCTTTGAAGATTTGGTTATAATCTGGCATAAAATGTAACACAATATACGCCAAGTGAAAAGTTTCTGCTTTTTCCAGGAGGTGTTCAAATCCCAATACACAATGTCAGAACATAAATTTCTTATCTATATGGTGTAGTTTGCTCCAGATGAAAATGAAAATATTTATTTATGTCCTTTTCTGAGTGTTTTGTTCAGTGATCCCTGAGGGTGTGTAGATTCCCCATTCCGAAGATGAGAGTCTGATTTGACTATTAGATATAGTGGAACTGACTTTGAATGATTGTGATTGGAATTAAAGCATAAGAGGCTGAAATGTTTGCAGAATTTTGAAGGGCATGCCAGATTTTTTGCTTGTGAAGCTGTTTTACAAACATCTTCCATATTTACTCTCTCAGGCGCTGAGACTGTTTAGCGAAGAGACATTTCTCTATCAGCTGTGAGTACTGACCGTTTATCTTATGTTTGCTTCCTTGTCTTCCACCAGAGAAAAAGGCCAAGAAATCTGACTGTGGGGAATGGCAGTGGAGTGTCTGTGTGCCCACCAATGGAGACTGCGGCCTGGGGACACGCGAGGGAACTCGCACTGGAGCAGAGTGCAAACAAACCACCAAGACTCAGAAGTGTAAGATTCCCTGCAACTGGAAGAAGCAATTTGGAGGTAAGCATCACACTTTCAAGGGACTGTTTTTTTCTTTTTACTTCAGTATGATGAAGAAAGACTATATTTTCTTCTTAGCTCTGCAAATAAGGTGCTATCTACCTCCAAATTTCAAGTCTGTTGCAACTAAATAATTTGAGGCATAGAAGGCAGCTTCCTCAGAGCAAAGCAGCTCCTCCAGCAGACAATCCAGATAATCTACATATTGTAAACTTAGTGTTCCAGCAGCACGATTAAATCTGTTTTCCTCTGGTGTAGAACCCTATTTAAGGCAGCAGTGTAAGAGTCATCTGTTCTCTAACAGCTGTGAACCTCCGCTATGGTTACTACTGGCTTTATGGGACCTTGTGGTTTGCAGCATGGAGCATGGATGGCTACCAGTGTGTGTGCACTAAATGGAGGCCAGATTATTTTATCATTTTATAAAGTTTATATATGGCAATTGAGAAAGATACCTCAGACCTCTCCCAGACAAGATGTCTGTCCAGAACTCAGATCTTTGCAACTCTTGCAAAGTTAGATTTTTTTTTTTTTTTTAAATAAACAACTTGTATGGCTTTGACATAAGTGTGACCTTTCCAAAGCAATCAGTGCAGCAGTTTCGGACTTGACAAGACCATAGTTTCACATACCTTCTTGAAACTATTCAACCCTTATCTCTTAACCTTTGACATTACACAAATGGAGGAACAATCATACAGAACTTGAACAGAGTTTTCATTTCTCTTTCTTTTTTTCTTTATTGTGTATCTCAACAGTTCAATATATTTTCATTTTATTTACATTCTGTATAGACAATAACACAATATTCATGCAAAAGCAAGAGGATTTTTTAAAATTCTCCTGGGATTCCTTTCTCCAGTTGCATGATCCTTTTGTCTAGGAGCACCAGCTGTCTGTGATGAAAGTGGTTATAATGTTACTCTTTTGTACTGGAGTGATAACATTTTTGTTTTCACTCTCAATTCTTCTATTTAAAAGATTACCATTTATTTACTCATTGCAGCAGAGTGTAAATACCAGTTCCAGGCCTGGGGAGAATGTGACTTGAATACTGCCTTGAAAACTCGAACTGGGAACCTAAAGAGAGCTCTTCATAATGCTGACTGCCAGAAGACTGTCACAATCTCAAAGCCCTGTGGGAAGCTTACCAAACCCAAACCTCAAGGTAAATTCAATTTGCTTGTAGTTGCACGCTATTTCATTTAGGTTGATGGAATTGTGATGTCTCACATGCTTCAGTAGGAACAGGAGATTGTACTCTCATAGCCTTTCCTCAGTCTGCATTCTCCTGTCTCCCAGCTGTCAGGCAGGCAATATTCCTGCATTATACAGTAAATGAAAAGTAACAGACAAGAGGTGAACTGAAGATTAGGACCCCAGTTTTAACCCAAGACTACATGTGTTGCCACCAGTTTGTTGATGTGCAGCAGACCATCAGAGTGAATTGTTGCATAACTCACTTGTTGACAAGAGCACTCCAATAATAGCATGCAAGAACATGTCTTGTTGAGATAAACACACCTTTCATATTGACATTTGGTATTGAATAATGATGAATTGAAAAAGGGACTACTTTCCTCCTGGACATGTAGTGTTCAAGGGATGTTTTGCTCCCTGCATGCTGAAAAGAGGGCATGTAGGTGTTCTGCACCTTTTGGGTTATATATTCTTTATTTGAAGACAACAGGGACGAGACCGCCTATGTCTTATTTAACTGTAATTCCTAGTACAAAAGAAGGCATATGCTCATTTTGTTTCCTAGTGTCTCTTAGACAAACTTATTTTATTTCTAGTTATTAAGGCCTTTTAATATATTCTTTCATTGGAATAACATGTGTTACGTACGTAGGATGATTTATAGTGGAAGCTAAAGCTGTGAGATCTTGTTAACACAGCCAAACTAATATTTTTTATGTAAATGATACAAGCTATGTTACTCTGGCATTTGCTGCTGAAAACTAGGTTAGAAACATTCCAGGCTTTGAATATTTGGATAATTATAGAAATAAATGTGATTAGAGGTTACAGGTGGAACTCGGATGAGCAATTTTCCAATTGTGGGTGGTGGTGCACCAGTGATCTGTGGAGCACTCTGCCTGGTGCAACCTTGCAAACCTTCAGTGGAGCTACCAGATAAGTGCTGAGTCTAGAACCTGTGTAGATAATGCAAGTTGTGAAGCAGAAAGCATACAACTAGATTTCTGGAAACCAGCTGACTTTGTTGAGTTAGCAGCAATAAACATCTTCATTTGGGCATGGAAGTGACTGAGGGGGAATAAAAGTGGGAATAAATGTAACAAGGGCTTGGAGTTGTGTAATTTTATTGCTTATTAGTTAGAAGGGAAGGATTTAGTTTTATTATTATTCTATTATTTTTTATTTTTTTTTGCAAATTTCCATGCATTTGGGAGTTTATTGAATGAAGTTTCTTCTTGTGCTGCCAGAAGGGCTCTGCTGCTCGAGCCATCCCCAGCCTTCTGCCTAGTCCTGCCTCTGTGGAGTTGGTGGGCTCTACTGATGGCTGCTGGAAAAGAGGGAAACAAAGCAGAGCATTGATGATGTTGGTACAGGGACATTTCATATTACAACTCTAGAGGCAGTGTCCTAGTAGAGCATGTGTCATTCCTGCATTAGAATTCCTGTAATCCCAAAAGCTGGATTGTGACCATCTGCAGCAAGATAATTATGTAGTGCTAGTTAAACAGGAAATCTGACTTCGTTTGATTTGAAATAGGTACAAGCGTAGGTTTGTGATCATAATAAATTTGGGCAGAAATTCTGCTCTCTTGACTTGCATTAGAAATCTTACAGCATCTTCCTGTGTACCACCTGCTCATTCATCTGCTGTTGGCATTGGAAGGAGCAGCAAATGTGGAAGTCAAACACTTGCAGTCTGCCTGGGCCCTGAGCTGAAGATAAGCAGTCCATATTGCAGATCAGTGTGTATGACTGCTTAGGAACTGCACTGGTCAGTGTGGTGACAGCAGTAGGAGGAACTAGAGGAAGAAATTAGGTCAAGAAGTTGAATACTGTGTGAAATGTTGTGCCCTACTGAACTTCATTACTTAGTTAAAGTCTGATTGGTGAAAGGAAGAATATTTCTGTTTGCTTCCTGAGGTGAGGGACATTACAGGCTGGAGGTAAGTCCCTACCTGTATCTAGGTTAAGGAAAAAATAATCTGTATGCAATCTATAGTTAGAATAGAATGAATTTAATTCTTTGGAACCAATAAGTAAGATCTAGGTTACTGCTTGAGCACTTGAAATGGGCTACAGATACATATTAGGCTCCCTTTTCTTCTGTAGCCTCACATCAGCAACTCAGGACTACAAGCGAAGAAAGCATATAATACATTATTTGGAAGCAGCAATCTTTTTCCTGTGGTGTAGTGTTGTGTGAAGTCTGTATTCAAATGAAGCTAAACCTGAAAATGCTGATCAGCTGCAATCAGTTGCCACTGTGATTGCCTGGAGTAGAAAGGCAGTGGTTCTCTAGCATCTGTAGGTATTGACAACAGAATTGTAGGTGAGGGTCCTGTTGATTAAAGGAATCTGTTCTACTGCTTAACTGTTACCAGTGCAGGCTTCAAGAACTTCATCACTGAGAACATCTGTGACAGCAATAGGCTGGGAGTACCAAAAATGGATGTGAGATGACCAAGATTATTTCCCTGAAAAGTAGCAGTATATTCAGAAAAAAGATTTGTTTTAATAGTTTTCCTGACTAGCCCTCTTTTCCATGGCCTGATTTTTTCCTTTCATTAGGTTGTATTTGTAACCTCTTCATTGCATTGCATTTTCTTTTGATTTGGTATTATTATTGGGGTAAGTAAAACCTCCATTTAGCTTCTCCAATCAATTGCAGCTTAATGTATCTTTTATTATTTCTTGTCACTTGCCTGCTGTTAAAACTAAAATTTCTGACTTCAGTATTTTGCTGTGTTAAAATCTGTCCATGATGTTTTCTAATGGACTTGCCCAAATTCCTTTTGTTATTACTAAATAATTTCTGAGACGAAGTGACCGGATTGCACAGCGTTTCTAGCCTGTTCTCTACGGATTTGTATTGAAAAAGAAAACAGTATTATAACACTTATTTTTATTCACACTTTTACTCATTATCTAAAATGTTTTTCTTCTGCTCACAACTTGCACGTGGAGCAGATATCTTTATCTGAGACCTCCACGATAGTCCCTGAATACTATTTTTCTTAAATGAATTAATATGATTAGTTAAGAATCCAAGAATGAATGTAAGTCAGAATTTTTTTCCATCTAGACTTGTCCAGTGCAGCACCGTGTCTCACATTTCACCTGGCACATTTTCATAGTGTAGCTGAAGTTCTTCCTCACCTTCGTTGCTCTTGGAGAACAGCACAAATAAATTGATATCATCCATAAATGCTGCTCTGTTGTTGCTTTTCAGCTCATGAACATAGCAAAGCTATGCTCATAGCATAAATCCTGTTTTTCTCTCCTCTCACTGAACTACTTTAAAAGTTGAGTACGGTTTCGGGGAGTTTGAATGATGTTTAACAGAAAAAAAGTTATACATACAGAAAAACTCGAAGGGTTGTTTGCAGATTCACTGACAAAAACATCTCTTGGTTGTTTTTTTTGTTTGTTTTTTGTTTTTTTTTGAGGACCTTCCTTGATCTGCAGCAAGACTTCTGCTAAATTAAGTCAGGACAACCTCATTTGCATTAGAAATCAATGAATTTCTGATAAACTGGTGATCTAAGAATTCTTATGGATTTATCATTTGTCAGCATTCATGGAAAAACCTTAAAATCTTTTTGAATCTTTTGAAGTTTGGAAAATAACTCTACTTCCTGGATATTTTTTCCTTTAAACTTTTGTATGTTTTCCTTATTAGCAATTGCTCTGTCTCAGTGTTCTTCTTCTGAACAGCTGACTCTAAGAATGGATTGTAGTCTTGGAGATCACTGCTTGCAAGAGGAGAATTATTAGAGAACCTCTAATATTGGTTTCAAGAGGGAGAGCAGATGATAAATTAGGAATTTGAATTTTATCTGGATTCCTAATGGACTCTTTTTTTTTTCCATATATTTATGAGATGCTCTTGTTTTGGATGACAATAACTTGGTCTTGGGCTGCTGTGCTGAAATAGTCAAAACTGGTGTACATTCCTGAATATCAGTTTTGACAGAGAGATTGTCAGTGCTGTGACAGTGATATCCTAGACACCAGGGCTTGTTTATTTAGTACAGAAATGAAGTTATGAGAAATCCTGTCACAAAGGCTGGAAAGGATGAAACAATAATTTTTATCACGGGATCCTGGCAGAAGCAGACACCTCTCCTCTAGTACGTGCAACTGCATATTCTAATCAGTGTCTGAAGTGCCAGGGATGTTCAAGTTTTCACTAAACTATGTTGGTGGATGCAAAAGAATCAGGCATGTCTGTTGAGCAGCTGCTCTGATGGCCAACTTGCACTGAAGAGCAGAAATTCTGACAAATTCCATCTGGCCTACTTCATGGCCACCCAAATGTGATTGATGATTGTTCAGGTTCCAGCCAACCAGAGAGGAAAAGAATGGGATATTGTCAGGATTCGGGAAACATTTTGGTTTTACTGCTGAGAGAGGAGAAATTTATTTTTACTGAACTAGGTAGCCTGGTTGGCTTTATTTCTTTTTTTCGCTCAGGCTTTCTGTCATTCTTATTTTTTCCTCCCTCTCTCTCTCTCCATAATTCTTACTTTGAACTATTTGTACCTTTGATAAAGATAAAGCAAAATAGGATAAGCAGTTTACACTTAAAAAACCAATTTTACTAGAGCTGGCAAACATTAATACAACTTATGCCACTGTTGTCTTTAATAACTGGAGTGTCATCTAAAGATCATGTCATCCAGTACCCATGCTTTTAAAGACTGTTCAGAGGAAGGCAAGATTTGAAATAGATTATAATGGCTTCAATGTCTTTTCTGTAATGAAGATCAGGTGTAGCACATCGCTCCAGCAATGCCTCAGCGCATTTCCTGTCTTTGTTGGTGTATGTGCACCTACACTGTTTTTACTAATTTCCCATTGTTTGAAGAGCTTTATTTAAGAGTTAATAGCAAAATAAATAATCTGCACTACATAACTTCTTCTATCTAGGAAACTTTACAGGAAGAATTTCCAGAAAACAAACAGGTT